CAAATAAAAAAGTCGAAGATCGAACGGACGTAGCCCGCTAAATTTCAAAATTCACCTTACTTTTTGATCACACCTCGTATACAATATAAATTCATGCATTTTTGGAAAGAATTAAATCGGCATGAAAATTTTTAAGATAAATTAACGTGTCAAACAAATTCTGGAAGAACTTTATGAGATTAATCAGATTTGCGCTGCGTTAACGGATTCCTCAAGTCAACGCTATCATCTATGTCGACAGATATGATATGACTAAGTCTAAAATGCCAATAAATCGCAAAATACGCATTTACTTGAAAAAAATGACAAAATATCTGACATCGAGCATAATATGATATGAGAGTGGGTCAATAAGTCCTTAGAAAATCCAAGAGATGGCGCTTACAGCATCCCAACTTATGTTGTATCAGCAAGAATTAAATAGAGTGCTGCCGAAGTTTCAGCCAGATCCATCGAGTAGTTCCATTTTTATCGTCGATCAAAGTGAACAACTTTCGTTTCTTGTTGACAATGGAAAAAAGTGAGTTCCGAGCAGTGATAAAACACTTCTATTTAAAAGGCCTTACACCGGAAGAAATCAAAAATAAGTTAGATGCAATTCATGATGTATCTGCCTCTATGTTTACAACTGTTAACAATTGGGTAAATGAATTTCAACGTGGCCGTACATCGACTGCACATGAACATCGTTCAGGCCGTCCTGTAGACGTGAGCACTCCGGAAATGATCAATAAAATCCATGACATGGTGTTGAGTGACCAAAAAATTAAATTGCGCGAAATAGTTGAGGCCACAAGGGTTTCAAAAGGTACAGTCATTTCGATTTTGGACAAGAATTGGACATGAGAAAAATTTCGGCAAGATGGGTGCCGCGTTTGCTCTCAGTCGAGAACAGACGCAGTCGAGTGGTTGCCGCTGAAGCCTTCTTGGCGCGTATCCACCATAATCCGGACAACTTTCTAAGTCGATTCATAACTGTAGATGAAACATAGATACACCACTACACTTCTGAGACGAAGAAACAGTAAAAACAGTGGATTATGAAAAGTCAACCAGCTCCAAAGAAGACAAAGACAGTGAAATCGGCCGGCAAAGTTACGGCCACTGTTTTTTGGGATGCACGTGGAATCATCTTCGTCGTCTATTTAGAAAAAGGACAAACAATCACCGGAAAGTATTATGCATCGTTGTCGGACCAGTTAAACAAGAAAATAAAGAAAAAACATTCTGATTTGAACAAAAAAATTCAGTTTCATCAAGACGATGCATGAGTGCACAATTGCTTAGTGTCAATGGCTAAAATTAAGGAATTAGTAGACCATTCACAGTATTCACCAAATTTGGCCCGATACGATAGCTTAAAAAAACTTGAAGAACGTCTGAAAAAGTGTATCAAGCTAAAAAGAGATTATGTTGAAAAGTTAAAAAAAATCTATCACAAAAAAATTGTTTTTCTATCTTTTTCTAAGGACTTATTGACCCACCCTCGTAATATTCTTATTCTTTTCCAGGATTCAATTTTTCATTGCTATAACATTTTCAAACAATTTTAGCTGTTATTTCATGTAGTAAACATATAACATAGATATGTTTAAAAAATATTGTTTGGAAACTACTAGATTGTATGTGCTTAAGTGCGATTGGCTTTACATGCCAAGTGCGTGTCAGTTAACATTAATAATGGTCACTTGATCATCTAACAATTTGGTTTTACTGTAGGGATGTTATCAGATGAAGCGCAGTGCAGGAATGTCGAAATAAAAACATAAAAAGATACAGAAATGAATTTTCAGGGAAAACTTCAAGGTTTATATTTTTGAGCAATTAATATGTTCACAAAATTGAAAAATAAAATAACTTTTGATTTTTTGCTTCAGGATAGATACAAACACAGATCTATTCCATGAGTTGTTACTCTCTTTATCAATGTCTTGAGTACATAATTAATATTAACATTGATTATGTTAATCACAATACAACTTGACATGATTTTTGCAAAAAAAAATCTGAAACAGAGAAAGCCTAAAAATATGTCTCCAATCATGATGAGTTTATTAATAGCGGAAAAATTAGAAAATGCAAACGAAGAATAATAATGTTGTATTGTGTAGAACAGATAAATAGTTGAATGATTTCAGATGTGAGTAATATTTTTAATAAAGATTACCGAGAAAATATCATAATCATTGGTTAAAATAGTAGTCACTGATTCATTTTTCACAAGTAATCACATGATAGAAAATATACAATCCATCAATACTCTTCTTGTTTTTAAAAGAATTATACAATAGTTTCACAATCACCGAGCTAAAAAATCATGATACGTATCTCGAAAGTGCCATCGATTTTTTCAAAATTTCCGGTTGTGCAGGTGGTGCAGGTCGAGCAGGTGGCTGAATTTTGAAAACATTTTTATAATCAGTGACCCAAAAAACTTTGAAAATAATATTAAATTCACCAAAAAAATGATTTTTTATTTGGTAGCATGAAGTTCATTCATTTTTCAAAAATGATATATTTTAGGGCCCTTAAAGCATTATGAGGATATTTTCGCAAATTAACGGTATCTCATTTGATCACAAATCACTTCAAGAGTATTTTACATTTTAAAATTAAATTCAATTATCTTAAAAATTCGCGTGAAGCCAGATATTTGGCCAAAAATTCATCGTTTCACGACACTGTGCGTGGGCTTCTTTAACCGAATTAGAACCCCTTAAATACGCGGTAGCTAGTTTTAGCGTGCGGCAACTATCTCTCCTTTGTACAGAAACAACGGGGGAAAAATTGCAAAACTTACCAATCAACTTAGTTCAGTTTCCAAATCTTACGAAAGAATAATCACTGAACAAGAGGATGAAATCTTACTAGACGAATTTCACGACCAAAACAGCACCAAAATCACAACTGTTAAAATAAAGAAAGTAATTTAAATAATTAATTATATTAATTACAAAACATCCCCTAAAGTTAATAATATTACAGAAATAATTATTTAAAAGTTACAATAGCAGTAATTAAAATTTATAACATCATTTTCAATACATACTTACATCTGTGTTATTTTCCAACTTTGTGGAAAGTAGCACTGAACATTTTCATATCTAAATCAGGTAAAAAACCTGAACTGGTGTCCTCATACAAATCGATTAGTTTTTTACCAATACTTTCAAAAATTTGTGAAAAATTAATCCTTGCTAGAATCAATCCAATAATACAATAAAACTTATTCTAAATTATCAATTTGACTTCAGTTCATTTCAGTTTCATTCAATTCTGTTTACTTGTTCAATCATGAAGTGGTAAACAGAATAGTGACAGCAGACTGTGAGGAAATCCATTGAACAAAAATAGTGCTTGTACGTATTTCTGAATATCACCCGGGCGTTTAACAAATTTTGAGATATAAGGCTTCTACACAAATTCAAGAGATGTTTTCCAAAGCGCCACTATGAGCTACTTCAGTTATATCTATAAAATAGAGCTTTTCAAGTAAAAACAAATAAAGAATTATGGGAACGCCATTTAATAAAAGCAGAAGTATCACAAGATAGTCTTAGGGCCAACACTTTACCTGCTATTCATCTCGGACCTACCAAAGTCTCCTGTTATCATGACAGCAACATACGCAGACGACACACCTATTATAACATCTCATCCAAAGACAACTATAGCATCAGAAGCTCTTCAAAGTTAGTTCAACTCCTGGAGAATTAAAATTAATGAAAGCAAATTAATTCATACCAAGTTCATACTTTGAAAAGACACCAAAGCAACCATGTAAAATATCTATGTAACGCCTAAATAGGAATATCACATGAAAAAAACGTATATTCACGAAACGTAAACAACTGAAACTCAAATGGATGAAAATGTATTAGGTTATAGGAAAAAAATCGGAGTTGTTAATTGAAAACAAATTACTGCTCAACAAAACTGTACTCAAACGAGTTTGGAACTATGGCATTCAGTTATGGAGTGCTGCTTCAAACTCAAATATTTAAATCATAGTATTTTGCTTAATTTTATATACATATATCACATATCAATAAAATTTACTTATTATCTTAATATATTAGACAAATTTGGAGCAACAAAAAAATGTTATGCATCATGGGTAAAGCTGATGATATATGAAAATCTTATCTAAATAATAGGAAACGTTTACAGAACGATCTGATAATAATCTGATAATAATTGTCATGATTTTATCATGTTTTCATTGGACATTCATAATGTATCATCAAATTTTCTAATGAACTATCAAGAATGACTAATCATTAGAATTTATAATATTTTCATCACACCTCTACAGTCCATTAAATTTTTATAAAAATTTTTCATTCAGGGAACCTGCTTTATTATTACATTAATCCAAACTGCTAGTTAGAACATACTTTGTTTAAAATTTTCTCCAGTACATTGTCATTTTAGGTTGATAACTATTTGCCAAGTGATGTATTTTAAGAGTGTATGCAAATAAATAATTACACAATAGGTCTATCTTCACAACCATACAGTCCTATGACAAAAATTGAATTAATTTTCACTAGAGACTTAGTAAAAATAATTAAAAATATAATGAGAAATTCTGGTTGGTTTCTTTCTAAATAAATTTTTAGCTGAAAAGTACAAAATTGAGATTCTTTATCAAAGTCAACATTACTTGAACTGACTGACAGAAATAAATTGTATATTTTTTATTATATTAGTGGATATACCACTGATCAATGAACTCTACATTACTGCAATCTATGGGGTATATCTGAATTTCTAAGCAACGGTTACAAAAAAAACAATTGAATTGTAGTATAGAAAACTATTGAATAGTTTGGTAAGTTTATTATTATTAGTTTATTTCTATACCAAAATAATCTATATCTTATAGCTATATCTATATAGCTTTTAAATTGGTTGTACAACAATCAAGTAATATCATCATTGTGATACTATGTAATCTTAAAGAATATATGACGATATGTTATAAATATACTAATTACCTTAGTGATTGCAGAAGCACACTGAAATACTCTAGTATCTGGAAAAGCCAGTAGTTTGAAGGCTAGCTTAACATTTCCTAGATCTCTTATATTAATAACTGCTAAACTTTTCAAATCATAAACAGCTTGCATTTTACATTTAGATAAACTAATTTTGTTACTTTGAGATAACCAAGAAGCTATCATTAGTATATCATTAAATAAATAAGCATGAATTTTTTTTAATGGAGTTCCTTCAATTGGATCTAATTCTAAGAGTGAGCCTTCATGTAAGCAAACTCGTCCAGATGTATCTATTAAATTCTGAAAAATAATAGAATCTTAAATAAAACTAACATATTATACTGAAATGAAATAAAACTAAAATATTATAAAATATAACTAAAATATTATATAAAAATGCTCTAATCATTGTATTATTTTTTAGAATTACCATAGCACCATCAACATTTTCTAGTAATTTAATTAATTTTTGCTTAGGTTCTTCTTCTTTCAAAATGTAGTCAAAGTCATTTTCAAAACCTACTGCAGTGGTATGTTCAAATTCTATTCCTACCATTTGATTAGTACCTAATGCACTCAACAATGACCTTTGTTCACAAAGTAATTGTGATAATTGATACATCTCACTTTCAAGATGAGAAATTTCTTTTGCTGTTTCAATAAATTGTATATAATTTTGGTATACATTGCGCTTTAGCATAGCTGATGTATTTTCTGATAATTCTTGAATATTAGCCCTTTGATGCCTCAATTCTTCTGCTCCAACACACTCTGTACTGAGGTCTTTAACAACTAAAAATTAATTATGATAATTCAATAAAACCTTAATATTTAAGATAATTCTAAAGTAAGTTTACTTCAAAAAAATATCATTTCATTAAGATATACAAATTAATTTATAAAATTAGACATTTTAGACTTGCATATATATGTATAGATGTTTGTAGGTGCATGTAACACATATGTGTACATATACATATATATATATTCAATAGCAAATAAAATTTGTAATAAAAATAATACAAACATTTTTCTGCATTGAAATCCACACAGGAAAAATTTTTGACCAAGGTTCCAGACATTTTTTAAGTTATTAATTAGGCTTATACTAACTTGAATTATCAATGTTTTCTCAATTCTAAAATTTCTGCAAGAATATAACAAAATTTTAACGTAAATTTTCTTATATTGAAATAGATCATTATGTTATATAGCAATAATAGATATTGTTTAAAGCTTATCTGGCTGATAAAAAAAAGACACTGTCTAATTTCCAAATAAGAAAACAACAGACTAGGTTATAATTGCAATAATTACTGAATGTTTTTATTATAGTTTACTCACTTTGCTGAATTTCATGACACAAGATGAAACTAATCCACCTATATAACTATTTTAATTTTATAGGCTAATGATAAATAAAAAACACTGAATTATTGTTATTCAAATTATCTCCAACATCAGTCTAAGTCCCCAAACGTACAATCTAAAAAGTTGAAAGTATTACTTCTATGTATTAACTTTTTGAAATTTTTTTCCTGCTGATTTACTTAATCATCAAGAACACTTTGCAATCAATAAAATTTTGTATATATTTCATTCTTCATTTTAATATGTATATATATATTTTTTTAAACAAAAGAGTTGACGCTTGTTTTTAATTATAATATAATAAATTAATAACAGTAAAAATAAATTAATAAAAATTTTTTAGCATTATTTTATCGTTTAGGGCCTTTCTACACCGAAGGATATTTCCGTGATGTTCGCTGTTCTGTGTGATTTTGAATGCTCTTGGAACATTCATATTCGTACAGTTCATCACCTATTGCCTATCAGTGATGGGCGATTTTAATCGATGTATAAGGCCCTCGCCACATATGCGCATACGCGCGCGTACGAGGGCGTACAAACGCGTACAAATCGCTAAAAATTTTGATAGTGCCAACAACAGAAAATTACTACTATTCCTCGCATGCACCAAACGAACACACTTACTCCCGGAACAAACGTATCATAACGCTATATTATTGAAGGTTATGATACGTTTGTTCCGGGAGTAAGCGTGTTCATTTGGGGCATGCGATGAATAGTAGTAACTTTCTGTTGTTGGCACTATTTTTAGCGTTCTGTTCTGTTCTGTTAGTATTCGTTGGCTCTGGTGTCGACTCACAGTATAGCGAGTCTGTGTCCCAGCGATGAGCATTCGGTCACCCATCCCAAACTTCTTTTTCTCCTATTCGTAACGCATCTAGGTGTGTTGTACACCCAACGTGAATTGAATCGCGACCCCCCCAGTTAGGTTGGTATGAGTGCTACTTTCAGTCCGTAACGGTGGTTTTCAGATCAGCCATAGTATAACGCTCGTTCTTAAATTATATAATTAAAACCTAAAATCAAATAATCATGCATCTAAATTCATTGTTCGGCAAACAATTAATTTTAAACCTAAAAACAAATTAGTAACGTTTTAGCTTTTTATCGTATCTTAAAACGAATTTTCATTTTTGAATTTTCCCGCGGTTTCTTCGTTCCGATGCAACGACGGAATTCTCATACCAACCTAACTAGGGGGGGTCGCGATTCAATTCATGTTGTAGTCCAGTAAAAATAGGCCTGAAATGTTTTTGTCACATAAGTGGATGCATTTTTGATATATGGTAAATTGAGGTCGAAAAAGACGATTCTGAAATTTGCAGAGTTCTAGGTCCAGGGGTTCTAAGAGAAAATCACGTTTGAAATTTTTTTTCGCCTGTATCTCGCGAACGGCTGAACGTACGACAAAATAACATGCACCAATCGAAAGAGCGTGAAATTTTACATTAGAAACAATGTTTAACCCGACATCGATGAGTGTAAAATGTTGAGATAAAAAATAAATAAGAAACTTTACGTGAATAAGGAGAAGGGGAAGGCTGGGGAAGGCGCGGTATAGTTTCGCTCTCCTCCGCCGCCCCTCCAAGCGTGCGCAGACAGTCGACGACACTCGGCAATCGTCGGCCTATAGCAGCCGAAGAGGGGAAACGTGCATGTACGCGCGCTTGAATTCATTTTCGATATTTGGTGGCCGGCGATGGAGCGGTTGGCCGGCGATGGAGCGGTGGTCGGAAACAAGTGTTATTATGATCTTTTAGGATTTTCTCTTTGCAACTAATCTAAAAAATACTCTCATCACTAGTACTTAAACGAATTAGTTTAACGTAAGCCCCGACTCTTCTTAATAAACATATGTAACATCCATATCATTCAAATAACATGTGACAATAGCCGAGGTAGCTAAAGCATACCATCACTTTTTATTTTCGTGGTAGCGGGTTCGAATCCCATTGAACATACTTTTTTTAAGCATTTTTTTTCTGTACATCCCTTTGATGGTATACTTATATTTTATATGTTTTAATTTTTGAAAAAAAATTACTTAAAAAGTTGTATTTCTATATTTAGCTGACTTGTACCTGAAAATTACTACAAAATTACATTTGCAATGTTTACTTAATTATCGTATATAAAATTTTCAGTCCTTGCAATGAGATAAGCATTGTTATTTGAACATGGATAAATATTTAACATATAAATATATATTTGAAGCTTTTTGAATGAAGAATGCAATGAAAACGAAATAAATGAGTCTGCGCCGAAAAGAACTAGGCACGATTAGAAAATAAGAAATCATGTAAACTATAGCCTACGTATGCATATAAATTAAAATATTGTTATTAATAATTGAAAATATATTGATTATTATTTATCCTTATCCATATTTACGGAGAGCAAGTAATAATTAATTGGAATTTATACATACACTGATATGTATGAATTCAATTAAGTTAATAATAAACGATTGGCACTAAATATAGTAATTACAACTACACCAATCTCAATAAATTTTGAAGTTACCCCAAATTAAAAAAAATGATCGAATTTGATGCAATAGTTCGCGAGATAAGCCTGATTTTTGCGAAGCGCGTCGATTTGAACGCGGACTTTCAGTATTTCCAAGCGCGCGAGGGAAGCCCCCCACCACCGCCTCCGATCTTTGGCTTTTCTCGTGCTGGAAATGAAACGTCATTTTAATTGTTAAAAAGTCAAAATATGTAAAGCCTTGTACAAAATTATTTATTTATGAATTATTCTCAAATTAAAAAGGATTATTATCGATGCACATTTTGTTCTTTAAAAGTTGATCAAACTGATAAAAAAAGCTTCAAATATATATTTATATGTTAAATATTTATCCATGTTCAAATAACAATGCTTATCTCATTGCAAGGACTGAAAATTTTATATACGATAATTAAGTAAACATTGCAAATGTAATTTTGTAGTAATTTTCAGGTACAAGTCAGCTAAATATAGAAATACAACTTTTTAAGTAATTTTTTTTCAAAAATTAAAACATATAAAATATAAGTATACCATCAAAGGGATGTACAGAAAAAAAATGCTTAAAAAAAGTATGTTCAATGGGATTCGAACCCGCTACCACGAAAATAAAAAGTGATGGTATGCTTTAGCTACCTCGGCTATTGTCACATGTTATTTGAATGATATGGATGTTACATATGTTTATTAAGAAGAGTCGGGGCTTACGTTAAACTAATTCGTTTAAGTACTAGTGATGAGAGTATTTTTTAGATTAGTTGCAAAGAGAAAATCCTAAAAGATCATAATAACACTTGTTTCCGACCACCGCTCCATCGCCGGCCAACCGCTCCATCGCCGGCCACCAAATATCGAAAATGAATTCAAGCGCGCGTACATGCACGTTTTCCCTTTTCGGCTGCTATAGGCCGACGATTGCCGAGTGTCGTCGACTGTCTGCGCACGCTTGGAGGGGCGGCGGAGGAGAGCGAAACTATACCGCGCCTTCCCCAGCCTTCCCCTTCTCCTTATTCACGTAAAGTTTCTTATTTATTTTTTATCTCAACATTTTACACTCATCGATGTCGGGTTAAACATTGTTTCTAATGTAAAATTTCACGCTTTTTCGATTGGTGCATGTTATTTTGTCGTACGTTCAGCCGTTCGCGAGATACAGGCGAAAAAAAATTTCAAACGTGATTTTCTCTTAGAACCCCTGGACCTAGAACTCTGCAAATTTCAGAATCGTCTTTTTCGACCTCAATTTACCATATATCAAAAATGCATCCACTTATGTGACAAAAACATTTCAGGCCTATTTTTACTGGACTATTGGGTGTACACTTGTGGCTGTTCTATCATTATACCGTGTCCGAATGCCGCGTTTCAAATTAGTTTTGTTATAAAGAGGGAAAATAAGAAAATTCTCAATTGTACAATATATAGCTATTGTTTGGTCATAAGCATATTAAATTGATGTTAGCCTCGGGAAGTACTGATTATATATTTTCAAGTACGATTCGATATGTAGTGTTATGTCTAGGCGGGGAGATGTTACTGCTAGACATAATAATATATTCAAATATTGTCGCGTTGGTAAAGGTTGGATCTTAGTCAGGAGTTAAGCAGAGGTTGGTTAAAGGGATAGCGTCTTTATTATACGTAGGGCGTTTTAAGTAAATAACTTAGTTTCTTAGCTTATTAGGATTGGATTTCAGAAGAGGTTTTTACGAACAGTCTCAGGTGTTTGCGCTTGATTTAAGGTTTATTGTTTAAAGACAATTATAATACTTAACAGAGTATAATCCCGGTTCTGAATAGCCGGATAGTTAGACTTAAAAAATAACTATATTAGTACTTTGCGAAACTATCAAACTGCTGAATTGTCAACTGTGTACTGCGTACTGTGTTGTGCGGATTCCAATCCAGCCTTTTTATACCGTAGGCTGATATGCTCCTTCCTGTGTTTTCGCCAATTTAATATGCGATGAGTAATATTCGCGGAAATATTATGCAGACGTGCTTAGACTAATCTATCCCGCTAGATAGATTTACAAATGTTCCCGGAAGGGTTGATGCAATAGGAAATTAAATTACCGATACCCGGTTTGTTACCATAACCCGTTATTTACTTATCATAATTCGTCACGTACTTATTGTTTTGTATCGACGTGACAGTAGCCTAGTAGTAAGAGTAAAAATTCAAAGAAAGAGGTATTGTAATAATTATAATTTATATTCTCATACTATTTTTTGAAGAATTAAGAAAAATGTAAACATGTCATAAATTGTCAAATCCTAATTAGTTTATTCTTATTTGAGCTCTGTAAATCATATGGTAAATTTAGTAAATTATAATTCTTGTTTGAATCATTTAAAATTCTTTATTATAGCTAGAACAGTTGACAATAAATGAGTCAATAAATATAAGATAATTATAACTAGAGCGTAATATCGAATTGAAATTTCCAGAGCAAATTGAACAGAATGTAAAGAGTTGACTTCGGTCCAAACAGAGTCTAACACTGAAAATGTTGAAAGTAATTATGAAACAGTGTCTGTTAAGCTTCTTGTGCGCATGTGCGCGCACGCATACCACGCTACCTTCGCTGAGTTCAACTGCCGCGGAAACTAGCGCGGCATTCCAACAGTGATCGCTTTTGGTGTTAGAGCTTTCACAATAATTAGAGGATTACTATTATTATTATTATTAGAGCATCATTAGAGTATAACTATTGTAATAGACTTTTAAAATAAAATAACTTTGTATTTTCTATTTTAACCTAAAGCTAGTGTTTAATTAATTCACTTCGATCCAAAATTCCAACAGTGTCAAAGTATGTTTAATTATTAAAATTTTTTAGATTGATATTTATTGTTTTTAATTCTTTTTTAATATAGATATTACAGGTCTGAATGAAATGCTGAAGTGTCAAAATTTACTGCTGACGATAACAATGACAACGTCAACTCTTTATATTCTGTTGAATTTGATCTAGAAATTTTAATTCAGCATTACGCTTTAGACATTGTCTAGCTATAATAAAGAATTTATAATGATTCAAACAAGAATTATAATTTACTAAATTTACCATATGATTTACAGAGCTCA